TCCTCTGGTCTGATGAAACAAAAATATAACTGTTTGGCCATAATGACCATCGTTATGTTGGAGGAAAAAGGGGGTGGCTTGCAAGCCGAAGAACACTATCCCAACCGTGAAGCATGGGGGTGGCAGCATCATGCTGTGGGGGTGCTTTGCTTCAGGAGGGACTGGTGCACTTCACAAAATAGATGGCATCATGAGGAAGGAAAATTATGTGGATATATTGAAGCAACATCTCAAGACATCAGTCAGGAAGTTAAAGCTTGGTCGCAAATGGGTCTTCCAAATGGACAATGACCCCAAGCATACTTCCAAAGTGGCAAAATGGCTTAAGGACAACAAAGTCAAGGTATTGGAGTGGCCATCACAAAGCCCTGACCTTAATCCTATAGCAAATTTGTGGGCAGAACTGAAAAAGCGTGTGCGAGCAAGGAGGCCTACAAACCTGACTCAGTTACACCAGCTCTGTCAGGAGGAATGGGCCAAAATTCACCCAACTTATTGTGGGAAGCTTGTGGAAGGCTACCCGAAACGTTTGACCCAAGTTAAACAATTTAAAGGCAATGCTACCAAATACTAATTGAGTGTATTTAAACTTCTGACCCACTGGGAATGTGATGAAAGAAAAAAAAGCTGAAATAAATCACTCTACTATTATTCTGACATTTCACATTCTTAAAATAAAGTGGTGTTCCTAACTGACCTAAGACAGGGACTTTTTATTTGGATTAAATGTCAGGAATTGTGAAAAACTGAGTTTAAATGTATTTGGCTAAGGTGTATGTAAACTTCCGACTTCAATTGTATATACAAAAGTATGTGGACACCCCTTTTTAAATTAGTGGATTTGGCTATTTCAGCCACACCCGTTGCTGACAGGTGTATAAAATGGAGTGCACAGCCATGCAATCTCCATTGACAAACATTGGCAGTACAATGGCCTTACTGAAGAGCTCAGTGACTTTCAACGTGGCACCGTCATAGGATGCCACCTTTCCAACAAGTCAGTTCATCAAATTTCTAACCTGCTAGAGTTGCCCCGGTCAACTGTAAGTGCTGTTATTGTGAAGTGGAAACGTCTAGGAGCAACAACGGCTCAGCCGCGAAGTGGTAGGCCACACAAGCTCACAGAACGGGACAACCGAGTGCTGAACCGCATAAAAATCATCTGTCCTCAGTTGCAACACTCACTACAGAGTTCCAAACTGCCTCTGGAAGCAACGTCAGCACAAGAACTGCTTGTCGGGAGCTTCATGAAATGGGTTTCCATGGCCGAGCAGCCGCACACAAGCCTAAGATCACCATATGCAATGCCAAGCGTTGGATGCAGTGGTGTAAAGCTCACCGCCATTGGACTCTGGAGCAGTGGAAACGTGTTCTCTGGAGTGATGAATCACGCTTCACCATCTGGCAGTCCGACAGACGAATCTAGGTTTGGCGGATTCCAGGAGAACGCTACCTGCCCCAATGCATAGTGCCAACTGTAAAGTTTGGTGGAGGAGGAATAATGGTCTGGGTCTGTTTTTCATGTTTCGGGCTTGGCTGTCCTGCACAGAGCCCTGACCTCAACCCCATCGAACACCTTTGGGATGAATTGGAATGCAGACTGCGAGCCAGGCCCAATCGCCCAACATCAGTGCCCGACCTCACTAATGCTCTTGTGGCTGAATGGAAGCAAGTCCCCACAGCAATGTTCCAACATCTAGTGGAACGCCTTCCCAGAAGAGTGGAGGCTGTTATAGCAGCAAAGGGGGGGACCAACTCCATATTAATTCCCATGATTTTGGAATGAGATGTTCAACGATTAGGTGTCCACATACTTTTGGTCATGTAGTGTATGTAATAACAGCAAAACATAACTATGTTTGTACTTATAGGTAACCAGATCGTGACTACAACTACGTCTTTGACCACATTGTGTTGTTACACTGGTGAGTAAAAACTCATGCCTTCTACCCTTTAAATGAAGAACATACATTTAGTTGGTTATCAGAGTCCAGCATTAGTACTACAAATCACTGTGTGATAGAAGGCATTTTGGTTGCTTGGCGATTGGAGAACAGCATTAGGTTTTAGTATGTTGCTATTACATTTTATATGTTGGCATTACATTTTATATGTTGGCATTACATTTTATATGTTGGCATTACATTTTATATGTTGGCATTACATTCTATATTGTCGGCATTACATTTTATATGTTGGCATTACATTTTATATGTTGGCATTACATTTTATATGTTGGCATTACATTTTATATGTTGGCATTACATTTTATATTGTTGGCATTACATTCTATATTGTCGGCATTACATTCTATATGTTGGCATAACATTGACATACAGTGGGGAGAACAAGTATTTGATACACTGCCGATTTTGCAGGTTTTCCTACTTACAAAGCATGTAGAGGTCTGTAATTTTTATCATAGGTACACTTCAACTGTGAGAGACGGAATCTAAAACAAAAATCCAGAAAATCACTGTATGATTTTTAAGTAAATAATTTGCATTTTATTGCATGACATAAGTATTTGATCACCTACCAACCAGTAAGAATTCCGGCTCTCACAGACCTGTTAGTTTTTCTTTAAGAAGCCCTCCTGTTCTCCACTCATTACCTGTATTAACTGCACCTGTTTGAACTCATTACCTATATAAAAGACACCTGTCCACACACTCAATCAAACAGACTCCAACCTCTCCACAATGGCCAAGACCAGAGAGCTGTGTAAGGACATCAGGGATAAAATTGTAGACCTGCACAATGCTGGGATGGGCTACAGGACAATAGGCAAGCAGCTTGGTGAGAAGGCAACAACTGTTGGCGCAATTATTAGAAAATGGAAGAAGTTCAAGATGACGGTCAATCACCCTCGGTCTGGAGCTCCATGCAAGATCTCACCTCGTGGGGCATCAATGATCATGAGGAAGGTGAGGGATCAGCCCAGAACTACACGGCAGGACCTGGTCAATGACCTGAAGAGAGCTGAGACCACAGTCTCAAAGAAAACCATTAGTAACACACTACGCCGTCATGGATTAAAATCCTGCAGCGCACGCAAGGTCCCCCTGCTCAAGCCAGCGCATGTCCAGGCCCGTCTGAAGTTTGCCAATGACCATCTGGATGATCCAGAGGAGGAATGGGAGAAGGTCATGTGGTCTGATGAGACAAAAATAGAGCTTTTTGGTCTAAACTCCTCTCGCCGTGTTTGGAGGAAGAAGAAGGATGAGTACAACCCCAAGAACACCATCCCAACCGTGAAGCATGGAGGTGGAAACATCATTCTTTGGGGATGCTTTTCTGCAAAGGGGACAGGACGACTGCACCGTATTGAGGGGAGGATGGATGGGGCCATGTATCGCGAGATCTTGGCCATCAACCTCCTTTCCTCAGTAAGAGCATTGAAGATGGGTCGTGGCTGGGTCTTCCAGCATGACAACGACCCGAAACACACAGCCAGGGCAACTAAGGAGTGGCTCCGTAAGAAGCATCTCAAGGTCCTGGAGTGGCCTAGCCAGTCTCCAGACCTGAACCCAATAGAAAATCTTTGGAGGGAGCTGAAAGTCCGTATTGCCCAGCAACAGCCCCGAAACCTGAAGGATCTGGAGAAGGTCTGTATGGAGGAGTGGGCCAAAATCCCTGCTGCATTGTGTGCAAACCTGGTCAAGACGTACAGGAAACGTATGATCTCTGTAATTGAAACAAAGGTTTCTGTACCAAATATTAAGTTCTGCTTTTCTGATGTATCAAATACTTATGTCATGCAATAAAATGCAAATGAATTACTTAAAAATCATACAATGTGATTTTCTGGATTTGGTTTTAGATTCCATCTCTCACAGTTGAAGTGTACCTATGATAAAAATTACAGACCTCTACATGCTTTGTAAGTAGGAAAACCTGCAAAATCGGCAGTGTATCAAATACTTGTTCTCCCCACTGTATATGATAAAATTCCCTTGAACCAAAAATTATCAGTTCTAGTTTAACATTTGTTAGATATTGTACGACAAATATTTAAATATTGTATGGTATTAAACTTTTCCAATAATTGTATTAGTGTGTGACTCTCAAGGTCTACATGAGGAAGGACGACAACAGAGGTGTTGCCATTGTGATAGTTCAAAAGTAAGAATCCAGGGTGGTGGACCTTCTTCCACTGAGATGTTGAGGATTGGAGAACCATGGCTCGGTTTCAAAGCTCGATATGGATGGTAAGTTAAACGTTTTTGGTTTTGTAAGCTTAGTAGCTTGGTATCATTTCACGCTACAGCAGTACTTGGCACCAGATAGGATACACCAATGATGTATATTGGAAGCAGTCCTCCATAGGAATGAATGGAATTTTACATTCAATAAAATATTTTAAGGACAAAATTACTTGTATTTTAGTATTTATTTGTTGATGTGGGGACAGTAACATTAGTACTAAAAAAAAAATACTTTAAGAAATAGGTTATTTTTAAATTGTTGTTAACTTCACATAATTTAATGTATAAGTATGCATTAAGGTGTTTGTGATAGAATGTAGGCTACTTGTCAAAAAACGAATGTAGACATTATTAAATGCATTTCTATAGCTTCCAAAATCTTTACCAAACTGGCTGCGTGGTGCTCAATTCATCCTGGGTTTATACACTGTCTGTGTCAAATTCTTGTTTTGAAAATTGTTTGGTCTTTGAACATCGTCAAATCTTCCAGCAGGGGACGTGGCCTTGCAAAAGCAAATTATCAATGTAAATATTTCCTCTATGAAAAAATCAATCTGAGTAAGTAAATTTCACTAACATTTATTTCCTGAATAATAAAAACAATGAAATCTTAACTATGCTTTCTCTCATTTTGAAACTGTCAATCGCTCCTCAATCTGAAATCTCCTCCTCTCACATCTCCACCCTAACCACAAACTCTCTTCATCCCTGCTTTGCCAATGTGTGACCCCCCCCCCCCCCCCCTCCCCCATTTTCCAACAGTAGTAATGTGTTAATTTTCTCTATTTACAGAGTAACCTAGCACTCATTTTGATGCTTCTAAACATTGAGCTCTCTATCGCATGTGGTAGAGCAGAGTACAGAATAGTTGATGAGTGCTGTCCTATGTGTTCGCCAGGTAAGGACCAGTTCTGTATACAATATGGATTATTATGAAGAAAATACATTTCAATACCAATCAATCCATGACACTGACCTTCTATCCCACAGGAAACCGGGTACATAAACACTGTACAGAATTTACAAGTACTTCCTGTGTCCCCTGTTCCGACTCCACTTTCCTTGATGAACCCAATGGTCTTACGGCATGCATACAGTGTACAAACTGTGACCCAGGCTTTGGTTTGAAGGTAAAGCAGCCGTGTAGACCTTCATCAGACACTGTCTGTGGGACACTGGAGGGGTTCTACTGTCTAGACCCAACTAAGGATGGTTGTAGAGCAGCCCAGAGACACAGCAGCTGTACACCTGGTCAATACATCAGCCACACAGGTTGGTCTTCATGCAAATCTTCCATTGACATCAGTGCATGATTTATGCAGTCGTGAGTTAAGCACATCTCAAGTTAGGACCCTGAGTTTCACCCTGTGTTGATGCAGGAACAACATCTGCAGATACTGTGTGTGCTGACTGCACTGGTGATACTTATTCAGATGGATCATTTACATCCTGCCAACCATACACACAGTAAGTAAATGGTTATTTCCCTCAAAATATAAACTAAATACTACAATAATATGCTCACATAGGAATGTAAAACTGAAAGTTTGGTGACCAAATTGTTGATTACCAGTGGTCTGTTTCTCTTATTATAGATGTGATACCTTGAAGCTTCAGCAAATTAAACCTGGAACTCATTGGTCTGACTCTGAATGTGGACCACAGACCTCCCTTCCCAAAGCTACAATAATATCTGCTGTTGTGGTGGTGGTGGTACTAGCTGTGATAGCAGCAGTGACGACAGTAGCTATTAGAATAAAAAAAAGAAAAGATCCTATATCTGGTGAGAATATTTTGGGGAATTGTACAGTTTCATTTATTGTTTTAATTGCCCAGATGAACAAGTGAGAAATATCCAGCACTAAATCAAATGTTTTTTGTCATATGCGCCGAATACACAGAGTTGCTTACTTACGAGCCCTTCCAAACGATGCAGTTTGGTAACACACAATAATAAAATACAGAAGAATGGAGCTATATACAGGGAGTACCAGTAAAGTTCCCGTGTGGCTCAGTTGGTAGAGCATGGCGCTTGCAACGTCAGGATTGTGGGTTTGAGCGCCTGCTAAAATGTGTGTATATATATATATATATATATATATATATATATATATATATTTTTTTTTTTTTTTATGAATTTGTGTGAAGGAGAAGCGGGGGGGGGGCATGGGCAAGTTGCAACGGAGGGTGCAGAGCTGGTGGCCGGGTTAGTGGTAGCCAGGTGGAAAGCATGGCCAGCCGTAGAAAAATGCTTGTTGAAATTCTCGATTATTGTAGATTTATCGGTGGTGATAGTGTTTCCTAGCCTCAGTGCAGTGGGCAGCTGGGAGGAGGTGCTCTTATTTTCCATGGACTTTACAGTGTCCCAAAACTTTTTGGAGTTAGTGCTACAGGATGCAAATTTCTGTTTGAAAAAGCTAGCCTTTGCTTTCCTAACTGCTTGTGTATATTGGTTCCTAACTTCCCTGAAAAGTTGCATATCGCGAGGGCTATTTGATGCTAATGCAGTACGCCGCAATACGTTTTTGTGCTGGTCAAGGGCAGTCAAGTCTGAGGAGAACCAGGGGCTATATCTGTTCTTAGTTCTGTATTTTTTTGAATGGGGCATATTTATTTAAGATTGAGAGGAAATTACTTTTAAAGAACAACCAGGCATCCTCTACTGACGGAATGAGATCGATATCCATCCAGGATACCTGGGCCAGGTCAATTAGGAAGGCCTGCTCGCTAAAGTGTTTTAAGGAGCGTTTGACAGTGATGAGGGGTGGTCGTTTGACCGCGGACCCGTTACGGACGCAGGCAATAAGGCAGTGATCGCTAAGATCCTGGTTGAAGACAGCGGAGGTGTATTTAGAGGGTAAGTTAGTCAGGATGATATCTATGAGGGTACCCATGTTTACGGATTTAGGGTTGTACCTGGTAGGTTCGTTGATCATTTGTGTGAGATTGAGGGCATCTAGTTTGGATTGTAGGATGGCCGGGGTGTTAAGCATATCCCAATTTAGGTCACCAAGCAGTACGAACTCTGATGATAAATGGGGGGCAATCAATTCACATATGGTGTCCAGGGCACAGCTGGGGGCTGAGGGGGGGTCTGTAGCAAGCGGCAACAGTGAGAGACTTATTTCTGGAAAGGTGGATTTTTAGAAGTAGAAGCTCAAACTGTTTGGGCACAGACCTGGATAGTATGATAGAGCTCTGCAGGCTATCTCTACAGTAGATTGCAACTCCACCCCCTTTGGCAGTTCTATCTAGACGGAAAATGTTGTAGTTGGGGATGGAAATTTCAGAATTTTTGGTGGCCTTCCTAAGCCAGGATTCAGACACTGCTAGAACATCAGGGTTGGCGGAGTGTGCTAACGCAGTGAATAACTCAAACTTAGTAAGGAGGCTTCTGATGTTAACGTGCAGAAAACCAAGGCTTTTACAGTTACAGAAGTCAACAAATGATAACTCCTGGGGAGTAGGAGTGATAATGGGGGCTGCAGGGCCTGGGTTAGCCTCTACATCACCAGAGGAACAGAGGAGGACTAGAATAAGGATACGGCTAAAGGCTTTAAGAACTGGTCTTCTAGTGCGTTGGGTACAGAGAATAAAGGGGGCAGATTTCCGGGCGTTGTAGAAAAGATTCAGGGCATTATGTACAGACAAGGATATGGAAGGATATGAGTACAGTGGCGGTAAACCTAAGCGTTGGGTAACAATGAACGAGATAGCATCACTGGAGGCACCGATTGAGCCGGTCTCAGCGTGTAAGGGGGTTGGAACAAAGGAACTATTTGAGGAAGTTTGAGAGGGACTTGGGGTTCTACAGTGAAATTGTATAATAAGAACTAACTGGAACAGCAATAGGCAAGGCATATTGACATGGGAGAGAGGCATAAAGCAATCACAGGTGTTATTAGAGAGAGCTAAGACAACAACTGGTAATGGCGATAAAGTTTGGGCTGAGGCTAAACAGAAACAGGACAGGGTACCGTGTAAAGGAACAGTTCAGCAGGCATCAGCTGTGCAGCTGAGTGATCATAAGGTCCAGTGAACAGCAATATGTGAGTCCGAGAGCAGTTCGAATTGGTGCTACAGCACAGCGAGCAGGAAGCACGGTTGTTGTTTGCGTGTGCTAGCGGGCCGGGGCTAGCAGATTGATCTTCGTGGTCGTCGCAACGGGAAGCCTGTTGAAACCACAGACGATTACGTCGGCAGACCAGTCGTGATGGATCGGCGGGGCTCCGTGTCGACTCTAGGAGGTCCTGTCCGGTTGACAGAGAGGTAGATAGCCGGGAGATGTGCCTGACTCAAGGCTAGCTCAAGGCTGATTAGCCAACAACAACGTTCATTTGGTTGCAGCTAGCTAGTTGCGATTATCCAGTGTTAAAGGTCCAGTGATTCCGGCAGAAAATCCGATAGGTTCTGGGTCGATAACACGCTGTGCAGACAGTGCAGACTGGCCGATAATAGTCCAGGCTAGAGCTGGCTGGTAGGTAGTGCAGGCCACGGACAATGGTGAAAAACCGCTAACGGTGGCTAATAGCAAGTAGCTAGTTAGCTGGTTAGCTGGCTACTCCCGTCCGGTAGACAGAGAGGTAGATAGCCGAGATATGGGCCTGTTCGAGGCTAGCTCAAGGCTAACTGGTGCTTTGGGGGCAGTGGTGATTAGCCTACAGCAACATCCATTCGACATCCATTTGGTTGCGGCTAGCTAGATCCGGTGTAAAGGTCGAGTGATTCAGTTATTCCGGCAGAAAATCCGATGTTCTGGGTGAAAACCGCTAACGGTGGCTAATAGCAAGTAGCTAGTTAGCTGGCTGGCTAGTTTCAACTGGAGATTCTAGATAAAGGTGAGTAAATAATAGAATCCGTTCCACATTGAGTGAGGCGGGTTGCAGGAAAGTATATTTAGTAGAAGGATGAAAAGTGTGATAGGGAAATATATACGTAAAATACCAAAAAATACAAAAAAATGGCTATTTACATGGACACACAAGAGAACACGACCGCACTGCTACGCCATCTTGGCATATGACTGACTGAAATAAATATTAGAGCACACAAGATGAATGAAATACACAAGAATGTTTTGAAAATCATGACAATGCCATACAGTGTATGTTATCGATTTCTAAATTAGTTTTTGTCTCAATGTTAATTATTGTACCTTTCCAGAGAGGACCATTCCAGAGACACAAAGCCCTACAGAGGTATGTCAATGAGTAACACCCACAGTATTTTCTATCATACTCAATGTGGTAAGGAGATGGCTGACAGGAATTTATATTACCCCAACGGTTTTTTATGTTTTATTGAGTTTAGGTTTCTTTTTACTAGGTATCAGACACAGAGGGAACATCAATGCTGTTTGTGGGAACAAGAACAGGTAAGGTAGCCTATAACTTATCAGAATCATATGCTTGAGTTCATGAATTTCAGCCAGATTTGAACCAATTTATTACTTTGCATATTTTTGTAAACTTGACTACTTATGAATATTATGCTTACCAGATTCAACCCTCCAGGACATTCATCAGAACAATCCAGTCTAATGTGTGGTTCATTGGCTTGAAAACTAGACTGGGCAGTAGGGCCCAATTTATGTCCACTACATGGGAAATGTGATCTAGACTCTAGACATGTGATCTAGACATTTGGAGGCTGGCACATTTGTTAATTCTTAAATGGAAGAAGTTTAGAACAACCGCCCGGCCAAACTGAGCAATCTGGGGAGAAGGGCCTTGGTCAGGGAAGTGACCAAGAACCCGATGGTCACTCTGAAAGAGCTCCAGAGTTCCTCTGTGGAGATGGGAGAACCTTCCAGAAGGACAACCATCTCTGCAGCACTCCACCAATCAGGCCTTTATAGTAGATTGGCCAGACGGAAGCCAATAACTCAGTAAAAGGCACATGACAGCCTGCTTGGTGTTTGCCAAAAGGCACCTAAGGACTCTCAGACCATGAGAAACAAGATTCTCTGGTCTGATGAAACCAAGATTGAACTCTTTGGCCTGAATGCCAAGTGTCATGTCTGGAGGAAACCTGGCACCATCCAGATATGTTTTTCAGGGGCAGGGACTGGGAGACTAGTCAGGATCAAGGGAAAGATGAATGGATCAAGGTACAGAGAGATCCTTGATGAAAACCTGCTCCAGAGCGCTCAGGACCTCCGACTGGGGGCGAAGGTTCACCTTCCAACAGGACAACGACCCTAATCACACAGCCAAGACAACACAGGATTGGCTTTGGGACAAGTCTCTGAATGTCCTTGAGTGGCCCAGCCAGAGTCCAGACTTGAACCTGATCGAACATCTCTGGAGAGACCTAAAAATAGCTGTGCAGTGATGCTCCCCATCCAACCTGACAGAGCTTTGAGAGGATCTGCAGAGAAGGGGAGAAAATGGGAGAAAATCCCCAAATACAGGTGTTCCAAGCTTGTAGCGTCATACCCAAGAAGACTCGAGGCTGTAATCGCTGCCAAAGGTACTTCAACAAAGTACTGAGTAAAGGGTCTGAATACTTATGTAAATGTAATATATTTCAGTTTTCTTTATTTTTAATAAATGTGCTAAAATGTCTAAACATGTTTTTGCTTTGTCATTATGGGGTACTGTGTGTAGATTGAGTACATTGAAGAAAAAACATATGTACATTTTAGAATATGGCTGTAACGTCACAAAGTGGAAAAAGTAAAGGGGTCTGAATACTTTCCAAATGCACTGTAAGGATACGCAATAAAATGAATAGAATTAGGCCAGCTAACTTTAACTTTCGTAATGTTCTTATGTTCACGT